CCTAAAACCCCAAACCCCTAAACCGTAAACCCCTAAACCCTAAACCCGTAAAGCCCAAAACCCCTAAACCCCTAGACCCTAAAACCCAAAACCCCAAACCCTAAACCAGCTTCCTAAGCCCTGAACCCAAATCCCCAAAGCTGAACCCAACCTCCCCAAATCCGAGATCCCACAAGCGCCCCAATGGGACCCAACACATCGTAGGAAGCCACCACAATGCCCAACGAGCCCGGTGAAATCTCCATAAAAAAAAGCTTGAACATCTAAATCCTAAACCCAATAATGTAGGGGCCTGAATAATTACCTGTGCTATTTGGGGGCTCCTTATCATAATTGTAATATAATATCCCCCAAAAAAAAACCCGATTCAAATTCTAGCTATTAAGGCCCCCACATTTGAGCCATTAGGCCTATGCCCAAAGCTTGAAAGCCCTACACAAACCCGAAGTCCTCAAAGCTCTACAACCCCAAACTCCCAAACCCGAAAGCCCCAATCCCTCCTCTTAGCGACCCCGAACCCCTAAAGCCCCAAACCCGAATCCCTGAGCCCTAAAGCGCCCAAGGGTTTAGGGCCCCGAAACCCTAATCCCTAAACCCGGTTTAGGGCCCCGAAACCTAAAAGCCCCTACCCCAAGGATTTGCTCTCCTTCAATTCGGCCCTCAGTGCCTGTGCAGCCTCCACGGCCTGGCTCCATGCGCTGTGCCGTGGCAGCCGGGTTTAGGGTTTAAGGTTTAGGGTTTAGGGTTTAGGGTTTAGGGTTCAAGGTTTAGGGTTCAAGGTTTAGGGTTTCAGGTTTAGGGTTTAAGGTTTAGGGTTTTAGGGTTTGGGTTTTGGGGTTTGGGGTTTGGTTTAGGGGGCCTAGGTTTAGGGTTTAGGGTAGAAGCCTAAATAATTACCAATGTTATTCCTTAGTGTTCCTTATTAGAATATGACTATAAGGAGCCCCAAACCCTATTGCAATTATTAAGACCCCTACATTAGGGTGCTATTAAGGTTTTGGGGTGTGTGCTTTAGGGTTTGGGGTTTGGGGATATCTGGTTTAGGGTTTGGGAATCAAGGTTTAGGGTTTAAGGTTCAGGGTTTAAGGTTTAGGGTTCAGGGTTCGGGATATGGGTTTTAGGATTTGGCCTTTGGGGTTCAGGGTTTAGCGGAGGGCAGGGTTGGTTAGGCATGAACGCACGTGAACTCAGGGGCTGTGTAGGTAATGAAGCCGTAACCTTTTTGGGTATATCAGTTTCCACCATAATTAGCAGGTTGAAATTACCGGGATACTCTTACCCGAAGTAAAGGCTTTTGCCGTGAATGCGTGTATGTAGGAATCTCAGCTGAATCACCACATAATATGATGCTGGTGCAAATGTGCGTTCCAAACTGTATACGAATCCCGAAGTTTTGCTCCCTAGTCGCTAAAACAACGTGAAGGCTCATTTGACCTCCATAAGTCTACATGCTGAGAGGCCATGATGTCAGTCCCTGAACCCCAAAACCTCCCCTTCCCAACATGCCTAAACTCCCCTTTTACACCTACTCGCATGCACCGAAGCTTCATCTTAGCCTAACGCCCCGCGCCCTAAACCATTAGACGGTGCAACACAGTGGCCTCAATAATTGCCTATATTATTCCTTGGGGCTCCTTATCATATATTATACTATAAAGGACCCCCCCCCCAAAAAAAAAAATAAATAAAAAAAATAAAAAAACCACATATATATATATATACACATAGAAATTCTACTTATTAAGGCCCCCTAGAATCTCCGCATCTCCGCAACCCTGGAGTCGGACCCCTGACCCCTCTGCGATGCTGCGAGGGAGTTTGCACTTGTTGGGTGGTTGCTGCTTTGAGTCGGAGGGTTCGGTCGGGGGTTTGAGGTGTTGTTTAGGGTTTAGGGTTTTGTTTAGGGTTTAGGGGTTTAGGGTTTTGGGTTTTGGGTTTTGTCTTGGGGTTTGGGGTTTATCGGGGTCTAGAATTCCAAAAGGGCTGCGTTGCTATGAAGGTGACGATAAGGCTGCATAGTGGTTCTAGAGGACGTTGGGGTTCAGGTTTGGGGTTGTAAGCTTTCGTGTTGTCGGGTTAATATAGGGGCCTTTATAATGAGAATAGGGTTGTGGTGTATTTTATACTATAGTCACATTTGGAACCTCGAAAACAGTATTGGTAATCAGTAGGGCCCCTATAATGAGTCCTTCGAGTTCGATGTTTTGGGCCAGTTTGTAAGCTGCTATCTTAGTTACTGGTAGTCAAAGGTTACAGGTTCTCAAGATTTGGGAGCTTGTTTAACTGGTCGGCTTCGGGTTACTAAACCCTAGACGCAAAATCTAAACCCTAAACCCTAAACCCTCCACTGAGCTCAGGAAGCTGTTTGAGGTTGTGCGAGCCGCTGACCTCCAGGCAGATGCCATCACCTACAGCGCGGCTTGGTCGTCATTCACAGGATTCCGGTCAAGGGTTTAAGGTTTACCTATAGTCTCCATTGTAGTTCCTTTCTTTGGTTTAACCAGTTCTATATTAAGGATTTTATAAGGTAACCCCAAAAAGGAACGACAATGGAGACTATAGGTAGGCCTTATAGGGTTTAGGCCGTGATTCACAGGCCCATATCTACTTAGTCTACTGCGAGGGAGTTAGGTTCCCAAATCCATATTTGTCGGTATTCGGGATGGTCTCCTAGACTTGATACCCTAATTGGGTATAATATGTAGACTTGTTTTGGACTTACGGCTTATCGGTGGTGACAGAATCGTTTCCTGTGAGGTACATACCCTTAGAACTAAAGCAGGTTATGCGTCGTACGGCACAGCGCACAGTTGCTACTATAATATAGAGATTGGCAAAGGGTGTGTGTTCTTTGATATGTAATCAGGCTTCTTCTGTGTTGATCATCATTGCCATTGGTGTCGCCGTTGTCAGTGCAGAAGTAGAAATATCTATGCATAAGCGTGAGGACCGTTCCTTATAGTTTAAATAGCATAGGCATATTGCCACAAACAATTACAGCCATCACTTCTGGTTGTGTCTTTCTTGTTGTTGGTGTTATCCTCGATATTTTTACCCTGAACCCTTGGAGCTGAAACCCCAAGCCCTAACCCATAACCCTAAACTCAGAAGCCTGAACCCCCAACTCAAGAACTTTCCTCAGCCTAAACCCAAAAGGCCCAAAAGGCCCTGAACCCCAGCATTCCTTCCCAGGCTGCCTTGACTGCCCATGCGGCCACTTCCTCCTGGTGCGAAGCGCTGGCACTGCTCTGTGCCTGCAAGGGCTTGAGTGTAGGGCTCAGGGTTTGTTAAATAGCGTTTTTTAATACGGTTTTTACGGTTTAGTTCAGGATACTCCTCGATGCGGATACTATTGAAGGCCGATACTTAAAGGCCCACACATGCAGCTATCGTGGGCATATGGCAGTGTGCAAGGAGCAGCATGCTCGAAGCGGGCTTGCAGAATGACAGGACCGTAAGGCTCGCCAACCTTAGACTCTAAACGGCTAGCCCCAGCAGTGGATTCAGAAATCTCGAATTCGCCCGGTAACCCTCGGATTTTAGTTTCAGGAATATGGGGCCCCTGAACAAAAGCCCCCAAACTCCCGAACTGTCCTTACTACAGCTACCTCTATCATCCAGTATGAGGTGTACCTCTGGTTGTCTGAAACTGAAACCAGCCGAGCCCCAATAGTCAGAACCCACCCCAGCGCTGGGACCGGGAACCCCCATACGGCTAGAGGCCCTTCTCATGAAATTGAACCATTCGGGGCTTTACTGGAACGCCTAAACCCCCAACCCCAAAACAACAACAACTGAACCCTGTAGGAACGCACATACCCTAAGCATCCGTAAACACTCGGAAGTGTTTTTTTCTCCCGAGGTTTGCGGAGCTCCATGCGTTGCAGCGTTCGGATAGCGGCCCGTCTGGAGCCCCCTTTCATGGGATTTTCTTGGGGCTCTGATTTATGATTCGTAGTACGTACTGTTATTTTTATGCTGATAGTCACCTAATGGCTTCGATTAGAAAATTTATCTATAGGTATGGTATAAACATATTTAAACGTCTGTGATATATGTATACATATATGTATATATATATATATATATATATTCACCAGCCAACTCTCAACCCCCACCGCCTACGCCTAGATGTCAAAAAGGGTTCTCGAGGAGTTCTGCATAGCCTGGATTTGCCAGCTACATGAACTCGGGAAGGTTTATTATTATTTGGGTTTTAAACAAAATCTCGTGCGAGTGAGGAAACAAGAACAGACTAGTTGTTTTAAGAAAAGCTTGTTCGGTTTTACTGAAATCTCGTTTGTTGTTTAGAAACTCAGCCATTCAGTTTTGTTTCGCCGGCTTCGGGGTGAAACGCAGATCCTTTCTTCAAGCCCACTTTACAGTGTTTTTGCCGGGGGCTGGGGTCCCAAGTTAGTTCGTTAAGACGTTCTGGTGGTTCTGCAGTCGAAGGACAAGCACCTCCTCAGAACTCAAATCCATACTCGGCGGTGGAGCTTGAGGAGGTCTTGCTCAAGTGCCAATCCCCAAAGAAATGTCTTCATGGAAACTTTTCTGTTTTGAAGTCCCCACACCCCGCCAACAGGGGAGTTGTCTTGGGTCTGGCCAACCTGAGTCGTCAGGTTAGCCTGACAGCTACACCCAAACCCCTAAAATTCATCCCTAAACCCTAAACCCTAAACCCAGGTGGCGTGGCCGCTGCCGCCATGGCTGCCTGCGGTGCTGCCTCAGAGTGGGCCGCTGCTCTGAGGATGCTCGAAGCCGAGGAGGGGGGGGGGGGGCGAGCACTTAAGGCCCAATATAGTACAAAATCGTATTGTACCATAATATCATATACATTATTTCAAGATAGTATCATACAGTCTAATATAATATAATATAGTATAATATAATATAATATAATATAATTTAATATAATATAGTATGATATAATGTAACATATAACGGTAACGATAACCCTGTATATCTGGAACTGGCCTTTGAATTATTGGTGGAATACGAATTTGTAGGAGCTTAGGGAAGATCAGTGACGGTCCTTTTTCAGGCGTTCAAGGGATGTGTTTTTTTTGCAGTGCTTCGGTAAGGCTGTAGGCTCCGAATTCGCTGGGCACCCGAATGGTTTCCAGCTTTGTGGCAGCTACCGTGTACTGCTCTTCCATCAACTCATTAACCCAGGCCGTGCTAGCATGCTTCTGCTATTCACACTGAATTCAATGTTAAGGGAAGCCCAATGTCCTGCAACCCTAAACCCTGCAAGTTATTCGTGGGTGTTCATGAAGAGATTTGTGGCCTCGAGTCTTCTTGAGCCCCCCCAGCCCCTGAGCCGGCTGACGCCCTCAATCAGCAGGGTTGACAGCTCAGCAAACTCGATCACCCGTCCTACGAAGCCGCCGCACAAGGTTTAGGGCTTGCAGTGGGATGTTTGGAGGCTGAGATTCCTAAACCATTCTACCCGGCCGAGATGACAGGTGATCTCTTGTTTACCTTACGGTTTCTAGGTCCCCCAGTAGTATCCTTTTTGCTTTTTTGTGTTTTAGAGTTCCCTTGTTAGATAGAGTTCCCTTGTTAGAACTGAATCTGAATAGCAGCACATGGGTACCCTTATTATTAAAGGGACACTGTGGAACCTAATGTAGGGTTTTGGGGTATACTATACTATAGTTATAATAAGGAACCCCCAAAACCGTCGTTTTTGAGGCCTCTACATTAGGTCTCGAAACCCGAACACCGAACACCTGCCCGCTCTGAGGGTTGGGACTTAACAAGTATCAGAGCTTGGTAGTGGAGTCTTAGCTTTTACTGGGTTTAGATGTTTCCTGTAACCCCAACACTACGACATAGTAGATTATGACCCTTTTGTATCGAGTCTAGCCCCTACAACAATGGTGTATATTGGATCCCAAGGTAGGGTTACCGTAAGCCGTTTCTGCCCCGCGCAGGAAGCGGTCAGGGAGGTGGTGGACGAAAGTGTGATGCGGGTGGCCTGCGCGGCATGCTGTCAGGCCCCCCCACGCCATGGCATAATGTAGGAGCCTTAATAATTTGAACAGGGTTTTGGGGGTTCCCTATAATTATAGTAAAATATACCCCAAACCCTATTCTAATTATTAAGGCCCCTATATTAACACAGATCTTCCGATGAGTGGGGGGAATTTTCGCGTGAAGAGTACCTTTTGAATGCAACCTGACCCGACATCCTGGTCCAACTTGCCAACTTGCAACCATAATATAGGGGCCTCAATAATTACCGTTACCCATAGTGTTTTGGGGTTCTTTATTATAAATATACAAGAATATGGCCTATTCTGTTCATTAAGGCCCCTATATTAAACATTCAACAATGACTGTGACCTCAACTGAACTCAGAGACAATGTTTGCCTAATCCGGGTGTCCTGATTATGCACAGCAACAGAATGATATGGGCATGTGCAAGCGCGAATGCTCCCTTGTATATGGTTTGACGCGCAAGCCAAGCCCATGTGTGTGCAACAAATGCTGCACTTCCGCAGCCCAAGCTCCCGAGCCTTGGACCCTGCCCTACGCCCCACCCCCTAAACCCTAAACCCAAAATCCGAAATCTAAACTTAAACCCTAAACTTAACCCAAAATCAAAAATCTAAACCCTAAACCCCAAATCCAAAATCTAAACCCTAAACCCTAAACCCAAAATCCTAAACCCTAGACCACAGGGTCGCCAATGGCAGCGAGCTTGCTTGCTTGCCCTCACCCTGGCGGACTGCTTTGGGTGGGCATTGCTTCTGGGGATTGTATGACTTGGAGCAAGGCCATGGAGAATAGTTGAGTGGCGATACAATAACTATGTGTAGCAGGAGGAGTAGTAGTAGTAGT